TCTAATGAAATAAAATAAAGTATTTACTCGAATACCTTATTAAAATGAACTATTATTAAAATGAACTATTATTAAAATGAACTATTATTAAAATGAACTATTTAATTAAGTGATTTTTTTTGCAATGATTATCAAAATAACGTATTATTAAAACATGTTATTAAATTGTAAAATAAAGGATTGGTCAAATAAAATAAAAGACAAATTTAGATTTATTTACACTCGGAGATTCCAATACCCCTGGTGGAAAGAGCACAGATGGCCCATTGTGCAGCTGTGTCCTTCCCTTCAAACAAAGAGCTTCCAAGTGACGGAAGGTAATGTTGTGAACAATTATAATAATGTTTTGTTTTTATATTTATCTGAATTACATTATTCATTGTCGAAAATTTTTATATTATTATTATCTGTTTTTTAAATGTTTTAGACAGAGGGTATGTTCAGTGATGTTTGGTAAAAATGAGATTTAAACTATTTAATTTAGCGTTGTTTGGTGAAATCTTATGCCATCAGTTTTGATTAAAATATTGTTGCGTCAGCGAGGTCACGTGACCAGTATCACGCCACGTACTTCTCGAACCATCGTGAATTGTCGGGAGATTACTAGATATAGGGTAGTCTGGTAAATATATATAAGACCGGCCACGAAGCGACCGAAAGGTATTGAGTAATTGAACTGCAGTCAGAGAGTGTGTAATTTAATTGAATATTGTTGAAGTCGAGCACGTGAGACGTTTGTTATAGCGCGACTGTTGAAATTAAGTGTATCGCAAAGTTATATTCAGAAAGAATAAACCAGTTTTATTTAAGAAAGGACTTGTGTCGCTAAAGTTTCGTCGGAAGGAGTTTACGGAAAATTAACTAACGAACGGAGACGTAACAATATATAGTACGAGCACAGTAAGTGAAGTTTTGGGGAGTCAAATTGTCTTTTCAGGGAGTTAATCAAGAGGCCGATATTAGAGAAACAATTTAACTTTGTAGCATAAAACGTGGCTAGTTAGGACTGAGTCCAGTATTAAAAAACAAGAGCCTAATAAAATGATTACTCAAATCAATACAGGAACTGTTCGTCGTTTTTTTTAGTTGAACCAGCGTAACAGTAATGTAATTTGTTCGCCCTAACATGGAATGGCCTCCACTTTGCGTAACTTTAAAGCGTTTTATATTTTATCGAATATTATTATGTCTTTAGTTTTTGAGAGTTATTGGCCACCTAATGTAGTTAAAATTTGTCTAGACATTATTGAATGTATTCTATATGTTCTTAGACTAAGATGAGGTGACGGTTAGCTAGCTTCTTTCTTTGGTATGCTAAGCCTTTTAACTGGTTTATGATTGCAGGATCCTCCACAGCGGAGTTATTATAATTATTATTCTTTGTGTGCTAA